TAAGAACCAAGATAATCATGTAATGGTACAAGATCCCAATGATGAATGTAACTGTATTTTATACCTAAAATGTACCAATAAACTTAATGGGAAAAAAATAAAGCCTTTTATTTTAGAATAGATTTGGATTTACAGAAAAGTTGCAGAGTTAGTACAGAGAATTTTCATTTGCCCCTTACTCAGTTTCCCAGTTTTAAACCAAATTTAACACCCCAAGCTGATATGATACATTTATAATGACTACAGAATCTACATTTCATACACTATTTAGATATCATTAGCTTTCCCCTAACAGTCTTCTTCTGGATCTCACCCAGAATACTATCTTCCACTTAGTTATCATGTTTCTCTAGGCGGTGACAGTTTCTCAGACTTTCCCTGTTTTTAATGACTTTTGCTCCTTGTTTTGAGAAGCACTTGTCAGGTATATTATAGGATTCTCTTCTATTAGAATTGGAGATTTTTTTCTCAAAATTAGACTGGGGTTATAGGTTTTCAGAGGAAGATCACAGGAGTGAAGTGCCATTGTTATCACCTCATATCAAGGATACATGCTGTTAACTATCTTACTGCTGGTGATGTTAACATTGATCATGTGGGTAAGGTAGTGTTTGTCAGATTTTTTCACTGTAAAGTTAAACCCTTGCTCCTCATACTTTACTCTTTGGAAGCAAATCACCAAGCACAGTCAATACTCAAGGGGTGGGTGTAAAAATACCTATTTGAGTAGGGAATATGTATGTAAATGATTGGAATTCTTTAAGTACAGGAAATCTGAGCTCTCTCTCTCTTTTTTTTTTTTTTGGTACCGGGGATCAAACTCAGGACCTTGCGCTTGTGAGGCAGGCAGCAGCACTGCCAAGCTAAATCCCTGGCCCCCTGAGCTCTCTTTTGAACTAGTTGTACTCTATTACTGGTTGTGTTAATTAGCTTCTGTCACTATGACAAAATACCTGAGAAAAACAAGTTAAAGAAGGAGAATTTTTATTTTGGCTCATGATTTCAGAGGTTGCAGTCCATAGTTAGCTGACTCCATTGTTTTTAGCTTGTGGAAAGGGAAAATCATGGTGGCAGGCTATGGCAGAGAAATCTGCTCACCTATGGCAGCCAGGAAGGAGGAGAGGAGAGAGGGTGAGAGAGGGTGACACACACACACACACACACACACACACACACACACACACA